GTTAGCCCAGTGGCTGGGATGATCATTTAGTCAAGCAAAAGAAGGGCTGGAAAGCTACTGGGCAACGATCATGCCTACAAGTAGAAGTTCACAATCGTTTATTATACAGTATGTATTTATATAAGCGTGAGTTGCAAGGTCTTCTGATGCTCGAATAAAAATATCACCGCAGGGAGAACAGGGTAGCTCCAAGCAATAAATCTTAGTAAATCCTGGGGATAATTTTTCAGAGGAATATACATTTTAGTTCGTTTTAAAAACCAAAGCCAAAGTCTTGTAGTGCCTTGAAGATTAAACAGATGTATTTAAGTGTGAGTCAATTTCACAGCCATCTCTAGTCAGTTTCATAACGTTATTTGGGGGTTTGTTCTTCCTACTGGTTAGTTTGATAGGGGGACAAGATGGAGTTCCAATGTAACACACTTTATAGTAAATATCAATAGAAGGCCTCAGTGCTGCTTCTAATTCAGAGCAGTCTCATCCTCTTCTTGTTTCATTTTTATTAAGATGCAACTGCTTAGGTTGTAGGTTCTTTTATTTGTCTAGCAGATTTGACTAGGTTTTTAATACTGCAAGTGTTTTCCATTTTTCAGAGTGACTTTTTATTTTTAATACTTTTATTTTTTTATTTGTATACTTATTTTATTTTTAATACTTCTATTGCCTCTTTGTACTAATTGTTCTTAGCTTTAAATATTGTATTTGAATGATGTTAACTACTTGTACACTCATTGTTTTCAACTTTAAATACTGTCTTTCAATGTTGTGAGCCACCTTTTCAAGGAGAAAGGTGGGGCAAAAACAAACAAACGCTTTAAGCTTCAGTATCCACCAGCCTCAGCATGACCCTGGAGGGACTGTGGGAGGTGATTTTCAAGCACTAAAGAGTCCCCCCCCCCCCTTCCTGCACCTCCTACTTTCTTTTTAATACTGCAAGTGTTTTCCATTTTTCAGAGTGACTTTTTATTTTTAATACTTTTAATATTTTATTTGTATACTTACTTTATTTTTAATACTTCTATTGCCTCTTTGTACTAATTGTTCTTAGCTTTAAATATTGTATTTGAATGATGTTAACTACTTGTACACTCATTGTTTTCAACTTTAAATACTGTCTTTCAATGTTGTGAGCCACCTTGGGTCCTTTTCAAGGAGAAAGGTGGGGCAAAAACAAACACTTTTAAGCTTCAGTATCCACCAGCCTCAGCATGACCCTGGTGGGACTGTGGGAGGCGACTTTCAAGCACTAAAGAGTTCCCTCCCCCATTCTGTAGCTCCTAACTTCTTCCCCAGTTTGAAAAGGAGCCTTGGAAGGGGGGGGGGGGAGATTGACTTTTAATGTTCCCGAAATGGTTATGGCACAACTGCAGATGATGACATCATGCAAGGCACAAGCTGTAATTTGCAGAACTGGCTCCCAGCCAATGATAGCCATCTGACACCACTTTAACTATAATGGTTTGTTAACATAGAACATTGAGATTTATAGCTTGTTTGGTGAGGTCAGAATTTTCTGCTTGGAAGCAGTAGTAGCATATTTCCAGGAAGTGGAATAGAGATTTCTAACAGACCATCTTAAGTACCACAGCAAACTACTCATTCCAGGATTCTGTAGGTTGATGGTTATACCAGTGTATCTGCAATACATTATAGCTCTTTGGTACTACTCAAAGTGATGGTTACTAGGCAACACTACTGACTGAAATCAGACTGGAACTAAGCCTTCCATATATGGGATATTTCCAGACAATTTGTTAATGGTGGGATTCCTCCCTCTTGTCATCTGCTTTAATCTCCATGATCCACATGACTGTTTTGATTGTCTTCTGGCCAGCTAATTATAATTGCAGCTGATATCTCTTTCATTCCTTAATGGAGACATTCCATTCTCCCACCCCACTCCCTCAGCAGATCCAGTGTGAACTGGGGTATAGAAAAAGCCTACTAATATTGTGTTTTTCTGCCAGGTGGGGTTGCAATTAGTCATTCTGTTGCCTTTTGGAGTTGTTTCTATAGTCAGTGTAGAGGTACAATTTGTGTCGTGATACCTGCGGAAAGAGCAGCGCAGAATTGCCACAACAGATGGTTTTCTGGAGGCAAACTGGTATGTTAGACTTGCTTTTATTTTTCAGAGGACTGTGCACCCTGCTGAATGTGAGCCATCTCTCATCCCTGCTTGAAGTTTTATTTAACAAAGAAATAAGACTTCAGAGAGGAGTAGGAGCTACACCACCTTCAGGAGTGGGTTGGAAAGGTTCACAGAGACACCTGATCTTGAGAGAAAGGAGGAAACAGTATAGGAGAAATGAAGCTGAGATACAGAGATAAATATTTATCAGAAAGGCTAGACATGTAACTTTCTAAAAATCACACACAGGTTACTGAGGGAGGGCTTGCCTGAAGAGAAAGATATTTGCCTGCTTGCAGAAGGACAACAAAGATGGGGCCAATCTGGTCTCCTGCGGGAGGGAATTCCAAAGTCTGTGAGCAATAGCAGAGAAGGCTCTCTGCTGTGTCCCCATCCAACACAGCTGTGCAGATGGTGGGACTAAGAGAAAGGTATCTGCTGATGATTTTAAGACCCAATCCAGCTCATCATGGGAAATAAAATCTTTGAGATAGTTTGGACCCAGGCCATTTAGGACTTCATAGTTAAAACTAGCACTTTGATAGGTGTGTGTGTGTGTGTTATGTGGTCCCTGTAACCAGTCCCAGTCAGCAATTTGCAGGTGTGTGTGTGTGTTATGCCTGCTGAAGGTCCCCAACACTTTCCATTTGCAGCCCCACATAGAGCATGTTACAGTAATCCAGCCAGGAAGTCATTAGGGCATGTGCCACAATGGCCAGAGCAGATCTCTCAAGAGATAGACTTAGCTGGCATGCTGGTTTTAATTGTGCAAATGCACTCCTGGGCACCACTGAGACCTGGGCATCCAGGCTCAGGGATGAATCCAGGAACACACCCAAGCTGCACACCTGTTTTTTAAATGGGAGTGTAATCCCATTCAGGACAGGCTATATTCCTATTCCTTGATCTGCTTTTCGACTGAACCAAAGGTTCCACAACACTGTTTCAAGATTTAGTGTTGTATTTTCTTCCCTGGGTTCTTGTGCATCTCTGTGCAAATAAATACTGTAGTTACTTATGAAGTTGGCTCATTGACAGCTTGAATGGAAAAAGTACTGCATGCCGCAATTCAGCCTTATAATATGGGTTTCCTTGTTGCTTTCTCCAGTTTAATAAAAGCTCAAGCCCAGCTTTAATGTTACAAAGAATCTAATGTTAACCTAAGAATCAACAGCTCTTGACAAATATTTCCCTTTCCACCCACTGCAGTAGCAAGCTGCACAAGTACTAATAGTGTGTGTGTGTAAGAGAGAGACAGAGAGATCTTTGTGTTCTTAAATTTTACAAAATATTTGCTGAAATTAAGTGCATTCTTCATGTTCTGTCATTCAAAGAAAAGGCACCTGAGAACTGTAGGCATTAAAAATAGTGGGAGTGGGTTGGGAGGAGAGCCACCATGTATAGCAGACCTGGGCAAAGTGCGGTCATCCAGATGTTGCTGAACTGCAAATCCCAACCCATTCAAATGTTGCTTAACTGCAAATCCCAACACTCCTCACTATTGGCTGTGTGGGCTAGGATTGCTGGGAGTTGCAGTTCAGCAACATCTGTAGGGTCACATTTTGCCCAGGACACTACCACCATCCCATCTATAGTGGATAGAGAATTACTTGAGTCTCGTATAGAATGGACGCTACCACCATCCATTCTATAGTGGATAGAGAATTACTTGAGTCTGGTGAAATATTCCCAACTTCTAATGTACTTATTTTCTCATAGGCAGATGCAGTGATAAAAATTACACTCGGAAAAGCAAATTATCTAACACATTTATTTAATTAATTGCATGCATCAAGTCAGTTCTGACTTATGGTGACCCTGTCAAGGGTGTTCTAGGTAGAGAATACTCAGAAGTCAGTTACCATCCCCTTCTTCTGGAAGGGAATATTTCAGAAAAAATTATCTGAAATATTTATTAATCATAGTGTAGTGCTTCTTACATTTGAAAACTAAATCTAGGCAGACATGTTTCATGTCATCACACAAATCTTTGAAAAGGCTATCTTCACAAAGTAAATGGCCCAAAATACAAAAACATGCACACTTGTGTAAATACTGATACTAACCAAAATAATATAATGTTGAAGCATTTCCCCCCCTTTCCTTCTACCCCTTTTTTTTCTTTCCATGTCCCTCTCTTTCCTCTTCCCTGACTCTTTATTCCCATCCCTGTGACAGACATGCTCAACAACACATTTATGTTACGTTTTCATATGATGCTTTGGTAAACTGGTGATCTTGCCAACATAAGACACAGTGATGGCCGCTAACCTGGGTGGTCTTAAAAGACAATTAGGTAAATTCAAGGAGGGCAGGGCTATCAACAGTTCTAGTCACAAAGAGTATGTATGCCCGTCCTAGAGGCGCTACGCCTCTGAAGAGCAGTCACAGGGGAGTATGGGTGGTGTTCATGTTGTGCTTGTAGGCTTGCCATAGGAAGTCCATTGATAAACACACAGGTGATTATCTTATACTGTTAAATAAAGAGGAAGGTGGCATATTAATCCCTGCACAGAATTAGATATGAGCATTGTGCAATAATTAAAAAGCACACCCACATGGCTCTGTGAAAGAACCCAGAACGGAGTGAATAAAGGTGCTTTTAGAATGACTCTGCCTCCCCCACCCCTTGCCAGCAGGAATGCTGCATGGAAAGCATCCATGTATGTACAAAAACTCTTTCGTTGCTGCTTGATTTCTGTTTAGCAGCTGGTGGTCTAACAGTGCAACTCCATACACAGCTTCTCAGAAGAAATGCCCAGGAAGTTCAGCGGTGCTTGTACAGTTTAGGTAAGATGGTGATTTAAAGTGTTTCGGTTCTAAAGTGAGTTGCCAGAAACCTGCTACTTTCAGTGTATGTGTGTGAGAGAGAACGCCACAGCTAAACAACAGGTCAGTTCATTCTGCTCCCTCCTGACTGCTGCACACGCGCATACCAGGAAAATTCTCATGAATCTGGTGGTTATTTGGTGAAAGGTGTCTATTTCACTGTTTTCTTCACTTCTTCAAGGTTTATTTTGCATTCCCTGTCATTGTGCTAGTGGGAGAAGGAAGCCAGGTAAGTGAAGGGGGCATTCTTGGGAAAAGGGTAAGTAAAATCCACCTCTTTCTGGGATAGGCTGTCATTTGCAAGTTACAATTTCTGTAAAGCCCTTTTGCTGTCATGAGACGGGGAGCATTTAGGCTGCAGTAATTAAGGTCCTCCATTCCTAACTAGGTATTGCTTCACGTCACACAAACAGGAGCTAAATGGACTGGCAATTCAAGTTGTGTAATCCATTGTTAGGACTTAGGTCAGCACCTTGCAGGAATGTACGTAGTAGTGGGGGAGTAATTTACTATAAAAGAATTTAAATATTTCAGGGGAAGTTCAGGAATCTTCTGGTATTCCTAGACTGACAGTGCCTACTGTTTGTCATTAAAAGGCAGTATGCAGGCATTGTCATGACAACAGTTCTCCGCCCCCCCAGAAGTGATATTCTGTGGTAGAGCAGAGATGGCAGACACAAAGGGAGGGTTTCAAATTGAACAAAGTGACACGTAGATCCAGATGCAGACTCCAGTGAATGGGACATTTTGAGACCACCCATAAAAGTATAGTCTAAAGCCCCTGTAAAAAGGCACTTTGTCCATCTGTATCATAGAGCTGTCTGGGTACAAACCAGCCAGAAGAAAACTCTGACTCATCAGGAAATAAGCTGTTGACACTTAACCCCAGGCCAAGAGCACAGGGCCTCATCTTCAATCCCAATGATCTGGGCAGAACCTGTTAAACAAAGAACTACAGCTCCAGAGTAACCCCATGCAGTATGGCCACTGAGCATGCTGGCTGGGGGATTCTGGGAACTTTGAGCCAAAAAAAAAAACCACCACTTTTCCAACTTCTGGATTTGGGGAAGTATTATCTTATTTCTCCATACACTGAATATCAGTGATGGGAGCCACTCTGAGCTCTTTGGAGGAAGGACAGGAACAGGATACACAAATAAACTGTATTTTCCAGCCCTGCTCCCTTGTTGAACTACGAACGGTGCTCTATCAGGGAAGGATGGAGAGACAATTTTGGAGGCAAGGTTCATGGCCGCTGCTTTCTTCTCTCTTATGAATAAATATTTTTTTTAAATTATCTGCAAAAATACTACCCAAATTAAGTTTCTAAATTGGAGGAGGCTTGCAGTATATGTCTACAAAATGTTTCTAAGTTTCAGGATAGTGGCGCCTGATGAGAGGTTTCTTTTTCCATTGCAATTTTGTCTACCTTTCTTGTTAGTCTAAGAGCCTTGTCTTCTGCGACTGCCCCCTTCTCTGCTTTGGCTTTCTCCATTTCCTTCTCTTCTTTTCTCAAGTCCCCTGCTGGTCTCTTTTCTCTAGCTGAGGGGCCTCCCTGAGGTATGTTGAATCCCTTTTTAAGAAACAAAGTCTTCATATCTATTTTTTGTAATGCCATCTAAAAAGGCAAAATGGGGGAAGATCGCATAAGAAGGAGGAAACAGCAAGATTAAAGCAGAACAAATACTTTACAGTTTCTCAGAACCAGATGATTTTAATCAATTTTGATTCATACAAAATACAAATCATTTCCATGATCATAATTTCAGATGTTTGCTTTTACTTGCCAGAAACAGATTGTGATTGATTACGTTTGTAGGTGGGAACAAGACCTGTTCTCAGATGTATTAAGGTCCATTTTGAAAGAATACTAATCTGTTTTAAAATCAAATTTCAATATTATATTTTGATTACGTACTTTATTTATACTGTGTCCTGTCTGTTGCCTCATTGTCTAAACATGGCCAAAGCTGCAGCATCTTTGATGAAGAAGAGAGAGGTATGAACAAACTAGACAGGATCCAATGGCTTGTATGAGTAGAGAAAATAACAATAACAACAACAAGCTATCAGGTAAATTTTGGTTTACGTAATCCTTTTTAGGGTTTTCCAGGTGGAGATTACTCAGGTGTGGTTTACCAGTCTCTTCTTTTGGGGGCGTCCTGGGACTGTGCAGCTTGCCCAAAGCCCCACAGGCTGGCTTTACTTGTAGGAGGCCCAGTGAGGAATAGAATCTAAACCATTGAGCTATCCAGTCAGTACAGAAAATACCCTCAATTGATTCTGTATGCTCAGTGGGACAAGAATATTGAACAATGCCTTTTTAAATGGCATTACTTGTGTTCATGCATATATTGTGATTTGTACTTACGCTTTAATCTGCTGGAAGTTGAGTGACCAAAGCGGTCAAAACAACAGTAAAGTATTCAGATAGTTGAAGGGGGAGAGAAAATTAGGGTGGGGAAGAATAAATGAAACATCCTAGAGAAGTTGTGATTGATCAGCTGGAATGGTAAACAGGGGCATTGTGCACTGCAACATTTTTTTGCAGGTCCCATATCATCCTTTCTGATGACAAGGATGATAAGGAAATCCATGCAGGGTGGTTGTTTTTCTTTTAAGCAAAAATCTTTCCTTTCACCATACTCACCTACTACAGAGGTTCATTTGTTTGGCTATTGTTAAATAAGTACAACAGAAGAATATGCTAGTTATTTTATTTTTGTTTTCCAATCCAAACATTTTATTGCTTTACCTATTAAATACTGAGCTGCCTCCAGTGCTTTTGTGGTGACTACTGAACATTAACAAAAGGAGACTGTGATTTGCAGGATATTTCACACAAGCAGCTTAGTCACTGAACACTTTCATTCTTCTACCATAATGTGTAGACTCAGCCTTCTTTGATCTGTTTTCTTCTGTTTCCAAATGGTTGTTGTTTTGTTTTACATATACTGTATATTGCCTCATAGTGCTAGTGCACTCTCTGGGCAGTTTAAAACATAATTATGCAAGCAATACTTTGTGCCCCAGCAGGCTGGGTACTTGTTTTACTGACCTTGGAAGGATGGAAAACTGAGTCAGCCTTGAGCCAGATACCTGAATCTGTCAGGAAATAATTTAGGTTGTGAGTAGAAGTTTGACTGCAGTACTGCAGTTTAATTACATGAATGGGGCGAGGGAGGGGAATAATATCTACATGGCAGATCAAGTGGCTTAATATTCTCTTCATCTAACAATTCTTCCATCATCCCTCAGGCCCTTTCCCCACTTTAGGTGGGGAATATTGTATCCTAGCTGTGAGGAAGGACAGGTGAAAATGGCTGGGATCTAAAAGGTTGTAGGGGAGAATCAGCAGGTAAATAAAGAGTATTTGCTTCTCTCCTTTAAGTGCTGGCCTCAAGATGAGCTGTACGAGACAAGCACAGTTGCAGAAGCCTGAGATTTTACTTACTGCATGTTAAAAAAAAGTGTAAATGTCCTATGACATTTTGAAAACACGAACATTTTCTTTGCTCAAATAAGAGAGAATCTTCCGGCATGTTGAAGACTAACAAGTTTTATTTGACATACACTTTCTTCAGTCATTAACAAACAGCAGTTAGGTGGTAAACAGGCATTTTTTGCACTGTCATACTGGTTGACTCTCTCTTCAAGCCACCGGAGATAGAAACAAGGCTTTATATTAATTCTTAATTGCCAATTTGTCAGTGGAATCTGTCTTTGTAGTTTTTTTGTTCAGGAATCTACACTATGAGGAAGGAGATGGTGTATCCTGAAAGATTGAAGTATTTCCATATATTTTAAGACTGAACATTATGATAGATTGTGCAGAATTTCCTTGATGAACCAAAGAAAGAGCTGAGGTTTGAAAAGAAAAAAGCCTTTATTTCACTTATGGGGATTGAAACCAAACCCATTGACTGTCAGTATTTTTCCAAGAAGCCATGTGATTACATACGTCCATATAGAGGTTAAACAGTGCATGTATAAGACAGAAAGGGCCTTGAACTTGTCAGTATCCTGGGTGTAAGACTGTGGTGTAACGTGGTGCAAAGTGTCTCACTAATGCTGCTGGAGCAGGTAGTGCCCGATAGCCTGCCAGTATAGCCGCCCTTGGCATCTGCCCCCAGGGACAGTCACTTCCATTTGCGTAGTAACAGGGGCGGCCGTGAGCAGCAGTAATATGAATCCAGTCCAAAGACTTAACATTATTTTTCTTCCCCCCCCCCAGCTACTTCGCAAGATGTGGGCACCTGCGAGCCTTTTCCTGGTGTCCGCTTTGCTCACTGGCAGGCTGGTCGCTGAACGCTGCCCACAAATCTGCATCTGTGATAGCATCAAATATCAAGTCATGTGCCTGAACAAAAACCTCACAGAGGTGCCCGTTACCATCCCTCAGGTCAGTCCAGCCGAAGCAATGAGGTAGATCATCAGCACCAGGTGAGGCTAGCAGGTGTGTTTCAGGTGAAGGCAAAAAGGAGAGTAGAGGGACAGCTTAATTCCGTTACTTACACCCTCTTAGTACTTGGGGGTGTGTGTGTCTCTTAAATTAGGTCATTGGACTGCAGCAACTGCGCATAGATTTTTTTAAAAAGCTGTAGTACAAATTTAGGGATCTCTGTTGGAGTAGCATATTTATTGTCTGGGACTTCCTCCTCCTCCTCACCTTGTTGCTGAAGTTTAACCAGTTACAGAACTAGATAGAAAAGAGTAGGTATATGTATGCAGATGAATGCTGGCACATCTGTATGGGATTTCAGTGGTGTACTTTAATATTCTAGGAGTCTAGCATTCTCACCTGTCCCCTTTGTTTCTCTCTTTTCCTGTTGGTCACGGTGGTGTCACTGACAATATTAAGAATGTTAGTTTCCTCCTTTTTCTTTTCATGTGTTTTCTAAGCTGTGGGTGGGCAAATAATTCTGCCAGGAAGAATTCTGCTGGTGTTGTGTAACTCTCCCCCAAGAAATGTGGGTTTGCTTTTCTCCATGTGCGGAAATGTTTTTTTCTCCTAGGAATCTGGAAGCACACTAATGGCAGCATGGTCTTGAGCAAGGATGGGGCTGGAGTGTCTCCAAACCTGGTACAGGGCAGGAAGCAGTCTATAGGCCCTTAGACAGGCACAGATTGGTTTAGAGGTCCAATGCACATCCCTAATTAGGATCTACCCATGAGGTTTTTAACTCTCTTTTAACCCAGAAACCATATTGCAAAACCTGTTGCTATTTTAGGCTTCAATTAGTACTATCCTACAAGGGACACTTTCACTTTTTAAAGATGGAAATGGGGAACGTGTGGCCATCAGGAGGTTTTTGGGCTACAACTCCCATCATATTTTAAAATTAATTCCTTTGCCTGATGGAAGTTGCAGAGTAATAACATCCAGGCGATCACATATCCTCCACCCGGATTTGCAAAGTCAAGCAAACCCATGAGAGGTCTGAATAAAAACTGGTGCTGCTGTTAACTCACCTCTCCTATGAACAATATTGGTTTATCCTTCTTTTTGATTTTTTAAGGATTTAATCAGATTTTATTTATTTATTTATTTATTTATTTCATTTCTATCCCGCCTATCTGGTCGAACTCGACCACTCTAGGCGGCTTACAATCAACAACAATAAAAATATTAAAACATTACAAATAAACAGAAATAAAGATCATAGAAGTATAGAAGGATATAGACTTTGATTGCTGGAATAATTAGAGCCTTCTAGTACCAGGCGAAAATCATTTTAGCATTGAGAAACAGGTTCAAAACAAGATCTTACATCAAGGCAATAAGTAAATTATGAAGCAAGACAAGAAGGTCTCCAATATCATTAGTTCTTTTCATTAGCTCTGTTTATATATAGGACCAGTGCACAATACCTATGAACCACATGCCAGCTCCATTATCAATGGGCACAAGTAAGATGGTGCACTGCCCGTATCCAACAATTGAGCCAATTTGATAAAGTTCTCTTGTTCAGTCTGGCTGGAGTCATTTGCCAGGTAGACATAACCTCATAGTGGACCTCCTACAAATTAAAACACAAGGAAATAACATTAAATATGGCATGAATAACAGTCCAAGATCTGTCTTCAGAGATCCAAGAACCCAGCTTGCTGCTCCAAGCTTATTTTTTTCTTTATTTTTTGTTAGGGCCTTTCCCCTCAAAAATCACAGAACGGGTCAGGTATCTGAAAAAGTACTCCTTTACTAAGGTTTTTTAAATATGTGTATATAAAAAAATCCTATACTGTAACTTCTTTTCTAAATAGTTGATAGAGATTGTATGAATTCCCTATTATGTTGTCATGTCTAATTTAAGTCCCATTGATTTCAGGTGGTCTGCTGTAGACGTGAGTAAATGTCGAACAAACAAAATGTTGGAGCATTGTTTGGCACTGCTCTTCTTTGAGGTTGGGATGTAGACTGATCTTTTCCAATCCTCTGGCCATTGTTGAGTTTTCCAAACTTGCTGGCATATTGAGTGTAGCACCTTAACAGCGTCATCCTTTAAGATTTTAAATAGTTCCACTGGAATGCCATCACCTCCACTGGCCTTGTTGTTAGCCATGCTTTTGGGACATCCAGATCTTTCTGGTATAATTACTCTGTGTATACTTGCCACCTCTTCTTGATGTCTTCTGCTTCTGCAAGGTCCCTACTATTTTTCTCCTTTATCATGTCCATCTTTGAACAAATGTTCCTTTAAAATCTCCAATTTTCTTGAACAGATCTCTGGTTTTTCCCTTTCTATTATTTTCCTCTGTTTCTTTGCACTGTTCATTTAAGAAGGCCCTCTTGTTTCTCCTTGCTATTCTTTGGAAGTCTGCATTCAATTTTCACCTATCTCTCTTGCATTTTGTATCTCTTCTCTCCTCCACTATTTGTAAGGCCTTGTTGGACAGCCACTTTGCTTTATTGCATTTCTTTTTCTTTGGGATGGATTTGTTGCTGCCTCCTGTACAATGTTATGAACCCCCATCCATAGTTCTTTAGGCACTCTGTCCACCAAATCTAGTTCCTTAAACCTGTTCTTCATTT